AACGTAGTGCTTACACTAAGACAAGAGAAGCTGAAGTTATGTTTGAACAAGTTGAAGAAGTGAGGGCTGGTAGAGGTGGTAAAGTACTCTCGGAAAAAGAAATTTCCAAGGTGAACTATGGTAAAAATTTAAACATGATGATTACTGCTTAAAGGACCTAGTCAGGCTCCGCCATTTTCAATGCCATCAGAATTATTAATGTTGCAATGGTGAAGCGAAGTCTTTTCTGTAAGTTGTGTTCCTGAAAGTGTGTTTAATTATCTTTTAGTAGTTTCACAGTGGTTTCCTTTGTTTCAACAGGCTCCAAATTAAACTTAACAGCTAAACTCTTGCTTGTAAACCAAAACAAAGGTGTGGCTGACTAAGGCCCTTTAAGCAGTAGCAAAAAACAAAGCCTGGAAAAAACTTTCAATGAATAGTAAATATTTTAAAAGAATAGTTCAGATACCTGATATAGTTATCCTCTATTCATTTTTGTTGAGGAAAATGAACTTTCAGAGATCTTGCCAGCTCCCAATTGGCTTGATAGCTCAGTAGGCAGAACATTGTGGCAGCATCACAGGTCACAAGTTCAAAGCCCTTTTAAGTTTTTTTTTTTTTCTTTTTTTTTTTTCACGCTTTACTTTTGCATACATAACTGTGATGGCCTTTCATGTATTACTCCCTTTCTTTATATGTTTGTTTGTTTATTTTTTGTGCTGATTTTGTTTTATGTCTTAAAATGCAAAGGTGGTATAAATTGTTTTATTTAAGTTCATGATGACAAGGAACTTTGAGAAAAGAAAACTGTGGAAATCAAATAAATATTTAGAGAAAAGTACAGTACTCTGAAAAGTGAACTAATCAACATGACATGAGTGTTGGACAAAGAAAAAATCTGAGTTCCCGACAGGAATCGAACCCATGACCTCTCGAACACCGGGCAGGCTCTCTATCCACTGAGCTACGAGAACTCATGGAGAGCAAGGTCATTTAACTGAGTTAATATATAACTCAGTTAAATGACCTTGCTCTTCATGAGTTCTCGTAGCCCAGAGCGCCTTCCCAGTGTTCAGGAGGTCATGGGTTCAATTCCTGGTGGGGACTCAAATTTTTTCTTTGTCCCACGCTTGTGTCATTTTGATTAGTTCACTTTTCACATTTCATTACCGAGCTTAAAATTTGCCATCTTTATTCATGAAAAGTACAGTACTGTTATCAGAACTATTTTCCACAAGTGAGGTTGTAACATAAGTTGTGGTAACTGTTACGTGTAAATAGAATCAAATATACTGCAAACCCTGTATATATTTTTTACAGTGCGTTAACTGAAACGGGGGCCACCCAGACAATGAAAACCAATTGATCAGATGGCAGAACTGAAACAATAGATTCCAACATTTTCAAATCCAGCCAATCAAATGTCCAGTTCAAAACAATGAAATCTCAACTTGTTCATTGTGATGCTTACGCAACTGGGCAATTCCATGTGAGAATGTGAAAAATCCAGATTTTTAAAAAGTGGTTGGACTTAAAATCATACCC